AATACACCTCTATGAGGAGATGCAGATTGGCCTTGGCTGTTTTTGACTTGAGCTGGCTCTCCCCCTGATCTGACTCATTGACAGTCTCAGCCAATCGTATGGGAAAGCTTTGTGATTGGCTCAGAGAAATCACCGATGATGCCAGCAAAGCAGGGAGATCTGGGGCAGAGACAGCTGCTTCAGACTTCACAAAAGTAAAATTTTACTATATTTAGAGGAGCAAGGGCAGGGGCTAGATGGTGGTTTTAACACTATAGGGTCAGGAATACATGTTTGTGTTTCGACCCAATAGTGCTCCTTTAAACCTCCAGCAGCAAAGGGGTTAAATACTGTATATACAGATGTTCATAGAAGCAGCATGGAAGGAAAGAGGCTTCAGTGAGCTGCAGCAGATCCCACACTCGCTTCCATTAGCCTCAGCCAGGAGCAGAAGACCAGTCAAGCCACCCTCCTGGACAGACAGTAAGCTGAAAATACAGTTATTAAATGAATGTGTTTATGTTCGTGTGTATGCACGTCAGGGTGCGTGTATGTGACGTGTTACTGTTTATATGTACACAACACGCATCTGTGTGTTAATGTATGTATATCTGTGAAAATATGAATGTGGCAGGTTATGTGCATACATCCAAGCAATCACCAACACAACATGCAAACACTCCTGCAATCCAACACAAATGTGTCCGCATTTAAAAGCCAACATTACATTGAAACCCACAACTGCAATCAAATGCAAACATTGCATACAAAAAATCCCTGTATTAAAAGACTAACATTTATATACAAGCACTCCTTGTATATCAACACTACATTACTGCATTCCAACAGCAACACTACATACAAAGAAACCCCTATATGCACATATATACTGTGCATTTGAATGGAAGCATGTTTTTTGTACAAACACTGCGCACAAACAAAACCCTGCAAGGATGGGCAAATGGTAGACCTCTAGCAAGCATAGCATCATTGGATTTGTACCCCTTCTCTACATTTAGTTGTGCCACTGGCATCAAGTCCACTTCAGGTCAATCAAATGGCCATGGTACTCCATTCCCCAGCGGGAGAGTGTCCTACCGGGAATAGAGAGCCCAGTCTCCTTTCCCCAGTAGCAGGACTCTGTATTGGGAGCAGAGACAGTCGGTCTCCCTCCCCCGCGGCTGGAAGTATGTATGGGAGAGGAGCTTGTTACCCCCTCTAACAAGCGGCAGCTTAATGTACAAAGAGGAGACAGTAAGCCCCACAACTGTGCAGATGGGACCGTGGTCTCTGCACGTACAGCACAGGGGGAAGGGACGGTCGGTTCCGCCCCCCAGCGACAGGGCTGTTACACCAAAGGGGAGACAGTCGGTCTCCAGCAGCAGGACTGTGTGTCTAAAGGGGAGACAGTCGGTCTCCAGCAGCAGGGCTGTGTGTCTAAAGGGGAGACAGTCGGTCTCCAGCAGCAGGACTGTGTGTCTAAAGGGGAGACAGTCGGTCTCCAGCAGCAGGGCTGTGTGTCTAAAGGGGAGACAGTCGGTCTCCAGCAGCAGGCTGTGTGTCTAAAGGGGAGACAGTCGGTCTCCAGCAGCAGGGCTGTGTGTCTAAAGGGGAGACAGTCGGTCTCCAGCAGCAGGGCTGTGTGTCTAAAGGGGAGACAGTCGGTCTCCCCCTCCAACAACCAGGCTTCAACCAGGCTACCTTCCCAGTAGCGCTGGCACCAGGGCAGAGTACCGCTGGTCTCTGCCCACTCAGCAACCCACCAAGTCAGCATACCCGTACCCAGCACAGCCATGGTGAGGCCCCTAGATATGGACAAGCTTCTCCTCTACCCCGGTGTAGTAACCATTTATTGTGGGTGGGCTGTGCCGTTGATTGTGTTTTGTAGGTGGGCTGCTGGACTAACAAGGGCACTGACCAGCAGGAGGTCAGATACCCTGTTAGTCTGTTTGGAAAAGGGGAGAGATGTGGCGAGAGCAATCTCACCACATTGCATTGGAGAAGCCTGGCTGCTCGCCTGTTGCCTTTGGATTATGGCCCCATGTTAAAAGGCTTGATTTTCCCCTGCAAAGACAAGAAAGTCGGGTCATTTGGTGCTTGCCCTGTTTGAGCAGTGATACCCCAGATAGCTATGCCATGGAGCCCATTCGTATAATGAAAGACTATGGGAAAGACTTTGGCTCCTTGGCAATTGAACTGTATGTGTGTACTCTGAGCGCCATTCAGTAATAATGTGCGCTCAGACCTAAGCTATCTGGGCATATGTTGCATGTCTATTTTATGTCATAAATGTAACCTTGTGTATTTTATTGTATTTTACTGTCTTTTTGCTGCCATGTGTTCAATGGAGTTTTGCCTCTGTCTTTGGAGATAATTGGATTACTTCCCAATTATCTCCAGGATAGAAGACTCTGTGGAACTGGTTTTGGGCAGAAAAGCCATGCTTCCTTTGGTCACAAAGGACTACGATCTATCTTTTGAACCACTGGACCAATTTGGATGATTTTGACGTATGTATGTATTTGGAGTATGCGGATTCTGAAAACGTAAGTTTTATGTGAATGTGATGCATACTTTTCAAGTTATGAATAATGTGGAAAAATTGTAATTTAGCACAAGCAGAGAAATACATTACCCATTGTGTAAGGTAATTGAATCACAAGTAGAGGGGAGGAATTTGTGTGGGAGTGTCTGAGTGTATTGTATGCGTTTATTGGTTGTGTTCCAAAACCCTGTGGGTGGTACTAGTGTGTAAGAATGTGTACATAAGCTCAATAAATCCACAGCTCTGACTGTTCACTGCTTGACCCTCAACACGGAGCTTTGTCTCGTTCTTGGGAGGGATTTATTGTATGCTGTTCCAGTTCGACTGCTAGGAGTGTAAACCTATTCGTATGGTTTTTCCTATTCGGCTGTTTACAGGATTCGTATGGTTTCCTGTTCGGCGGCTTGGTGTTCTGCAGTAGCTGTGCCTGCATCTCTGGAAGGGGACGATCGCCTAAACTGTTTTAACCCCTTGTGTGCTGAAACGGTGCCGTTACACCCCCATTGTATTGTAAAAACTATGACCAAACTCATTGATTAGTAAATCTTAAAATTAATACAATCACCACCACATGTCGGATTGTGGAGTCTAGACAATTATAAATTTTGTGTAGGAACCTCAACCACGTCAGTTTGTAAAGGAATATCATATCTAGAAAGACAGTGGGTACCAGGTGCGGGAGCCTTCTGTGTTTAGACTATACTATAAGTGCTTTGCAGATCGAGAAACAAGACTTCATGTAATGATTCAATTTCTGCTTATTTAAAGTTTTGCTTAATCGTAGCTAGCACATACAAGTACATAAAATCACACCATTTGATTTATATAACATGGAATCTACGATCGAAGTGCAAACCTGAGACAATGCTTAGATGTTTACTAGATATTTTATTGGTGATATCCCACATCTTAGATCCAGGGAGCAGTTAATGGAATTCAATGATAGCATGTTTACAGCCAAGGTTCTTCTATAAAAAGGTTATATAATTTTCAAACAACCTGTATTTAGGAGGTATGAAATCACCAGAAGCCTTATATAGGGCATACCAGTGTGGCGCATATTGAAACGCCAATGAAAAGAGGCTTCTCGTCTGCAGTGAATTCACACTAGATTGGTAAGCCAGAATTGGTCAGCCTTGCTCAAAGCTAGACATCTGCAGTGCATTAAGATTATCTGCCCAAGTGCTCAATACTTTCAGGTCAGTTTGCTCAGCGCATCTAATAATGTGCTTACAGAGCATAACTCCTTGCAAAATGCCAACAGAAATTAAATTGACTCTATGTTGCATAATTTCTGCATACAGTAAGTAAAGCTTCACTAACCATCTGCACTATATTGAAGCTGCTAAAAGACAATGAGTTTAACTTTCAAAGGATGCAAAGACGCAGAGGGACAGAATGAAACACTGGCTTTGGAGAGACTGGATGATGGATGGTGGGTCTTTGTATGCAAGTTTTTGTTTTACCTTTTTCACCACTGCAAAAAAAAAAATAAAAAAAATTTTTGAATTGTGGTTAAAAATTAATATCAACTCAAACCGTGTGTCCCTTTTTATGACATGTAGCCAATTTTTGAGGAGTATCAGAAAAAACGTCCAAATGTTGCATGAGTAGAGACAAGATAGCAGGAGGAAGAAAAAAAAAAAAAAAAAAAAAGAAAGAAATAAAATGAAAAGAAGCCTGGATTCCCTTAAAGGACCACTATAGTGCCAAGAAAACACTAGTTTTCCTGGCACTATAATGCCCTGAGGGTGCCCCCACCCTCAGGGTCCCCCTCCTGCCGGGCTCTGAGGAGAGGAAAGGGGTTAAATCTTACCTTTCTCCAGCGCCGGGCGGGGAGCTCTCCTCCTCCGATCCTCCTCCTGGGCTGAACGCACATGCACGGCAGGAGCTGCGCACGCATTCAGCCGGTCTCATAGGAAAGCATTTACAATGCTTTCCTATGGACGCTTGCGTGTTCTCACTGATTTTCAGTGAGAGGCACGCAAGCGCCTCTAGCGGCTGTCAGTGAGACAGCCACTAGAGGCTTTGAGGGCTGGATTAACCCATTTATAAACATAGTCTCTCTGAAACTGCTATGTTTATAAAAAAAAATGGGATAACCCTAGCTGGACCTGGCACCCAGACCACTCTTTAAGCTGAAGTGGTCTGGGTGCCTAGAGTGGTCCTTTAAGTGTTGCTTTTACTTCAACAGGGATCCCCACTCATTGAAGTTTGTCAGCATACACTTGCTGTGAAGTTGAGGAGAGAATGTCAAACTTGCCCACAGAATCATTAGCATTAGAAAACACCAAATGATTAATACAAGACATTAAGGTCATCTCTGATGGTGGACATACACATTTCAGTGCTCCTTTTATTGCTGGATTCCTTGATAGTGGGGCAGTCATACAATAGTGATCAACAGCTACCCAATGCAGTGGCTTCATACCATAACCATGAGATGCTTTTTGCCATAGTATAACCTTGTGGGGTTAGAGGAACAAGGTAGTCCAGAAGACAGGGGTAGACTTCGAAATATCTGATCTGACAGGCTGTCACAGCAACTGGATGCTCAAGTCTGGAGTCTACCTCTTTACCAATTAAAGCGAAGAAATTCAACAATTTAGCAGCTATACCTCCAAAGAAATAATGCATGTATTTTCTGCATGTTTTGAGTGTACATGAAAATAACCTGCCTGAGGCTGCAGACTTAATCTGTGCCAGAGACTTTCTCAATGAGAAGCATCTGTGCTGGAGATTTAAGCATGCGCAAACAATTGCAGCTTTCTTGTAGTACAGCTCCTTGTAGGTGAGGAATGGGGAGTGTGCTAGACCAACACGCCTGGCACGTCCATTAACTCTGTGGAGCCAGCAGAAGAAAGTCTCCTTACCTGCTTGTGTGACAGCTGCGGAGGCGTTTCGTCCCTACTTGCAGAACACAGGTTTATATCAACGTTTATTTCTAATGAAACCGGCACTCTTATAAAAGCAGTCAAAAATATATGACAGAGTCCAAACATAAGTCACTTTAGCAAGCTAAAGTGCCATATGAGTCTGGAGTGCACCTTTAAAGATTAATGGTGACTTTTCTTAAAGTGGATCTGTCACTTCTCTGTAATTTATGCCATTAAACAAAACATTGAAAGCCCTTTATTTCTTGTGTTAACTTATTTATGAGATGCTACTTTTTCCTTTTAAAGGGACACTATAGGCACGCAGCCCACTTCAGCTCAATGAAGTGGTCTTAGTGCAGTGCCCATCAGTTTAACCCTGACATTGTAATTATTGCAGTTATTGAGAAACTGCAATAAATCACCTGCTAGAATTACCTCCAACTCTAGAGGCTGTCGACCAGACAGCCACTAAAGGCACATCTGGGTCGTTAGCCGACTTGGTTGCCTGACGCTAGACTCCCTCACGCTTTGCATAAGGACAACCAGCGTCTCCTAAAACATCATAGGAAAGCATGGATTCAATGCTTTCCTATGGGGTTGTTCTAATTCGATTGCGTCACACGTATGCTTTTGCCATGTTGAAATATACATATTTAAAACGCTTATAACAATCACTGACAGGGATCCAAGATGAAGGTCCCCACTAAAGAATACAAAAGGAGTTTTTTCGAATGCGTCACAGTGCAATGTAGTCATTATGAAGCTTAGAACAATTGTTACACTCAATTATAAAATAAGAATATAAAGCATATTTATTTCAGAGTTCCATAATGATCAGTACATACTTTAGCACCAGCATGTAAGTGTTACAAAAGCAAAAAGGTAGGTTTGCACATTCTTAGCACAATGCAGTATGCATCCTCATGACACCATGAGGATGAAAGAAAGAAATAGGTTTGCATCATGAGCCATACATAAAAAAAAAAAGTTTGTAAATGACAACATTGGAAAGGGACAGATTTATTTTGTTTACTTTGAGAAGTGACTGTGCCACTTGAATGGGATCACCGTACAAAAAAACCTAATCTCAGTATTCTGTCCATTATAACTTTGCTGGTTCATGATAGCGTTGCCATAGCAACACATGCGTGACGCAAGACTATTCACACAGTGAGCAGTTTGCGGTATGTGACACATTGCTGGAAATAAAGATTATCACCTACAGACACACTGACACCATCAGACAAACCACTTCCTGTAGTCACGATAAAGAGCTTGGCTTCCAGCTCCACTAGGCTTATAGAAAACTATATTTCACCTTAGTGGGAATTCAGAATAAAATGGAAATAGGTAAATAGGTACACTGGGTACGCCCAGCCGGTCTCAACGCTATAATACGCTGGGCACGCCCAGCCGGTAACAACGCTATAATACGCTGGGCACGCCCAGCCGGTAACAACGCTATAATACACAGTTGTCACGGGGCTGGACTGCTCTGGCAGTTCCGGGCCCCACTTTCAATCTCTGCAAACATAGATAGCGAATATCGCTGAGGGGGCCCAGCACACAGCTTCTACTCTCTTCTAATAACTCTCGCGAGACCCGGTTACCATGGCAACACTCCGAGAGTTATTAGAAGATAGGAGAAGAGAAGAGTAGAAGCTGTTGCTGCCTGGGCCCCCTCTGCAGTAACAGGGAGCCGGTGGGCCCCCCATGCCACCGGACCACCAGGGATGGAATCTCCCCCTTCCCTGGACACAGGTAAGAAACAGGGAGGGGTGAGAAACATTTAATTTAATGTAATATACACTGACACAACACACAAACACACTCTGCATGCGCCACACACACTCTGCATGCGCCACACACTAACACACACAAACTCTGCATTCGCCACACACTAACACACTACACAAACATCCTGTATTCACAGTACACACACTACATCCACCACAAATTGAAACTCTGCATTCACTATACACAGACACTGCGTCTAATACACACACCGCATCCACTAAACACATTTCATCTAGTACAACCACTACATCCACTACACAAACACACACTACATACACACTCCGTGTTCACTATACACACTGCATCTGCTACACAAACACACACTATGCATTCACTGCACAAACAGTATCTAATACACACAAACACTACATCCATTACACACATTCTAATTCACTTCCACTATACACACACACACCACATTCAGTCCTGTCAGCGGACTAGGTAGGGCATGGGCGGGCCCAGACCTTGTGCTTTGTCAGGGGCCCCAAAATTTCTGATGGCGGCCCTGCCTACGCTATAATACACTGGGTACAGCCAGCCGCTAACTACGCTATAATACACTGGGTACAGCCAGCCGCTAACTACGCTATAATACACTGGGTACAGCCAGCCGCTAACTACGCTATAATACACTGGGTACAGCCAGCCGCTAACTACGCTATAATACACTGGGTACAGCCAGCCGCTAACTACGCTATAATACACTGGGTACAGCCAGCAGCTAACTACGCTATAATACACTGGGTACAGCCAGCAGCTAACTACGCTATAATACACTGGGTACAGCCAGCAGCTAACTACGCTATAATACACTGGGTACAGCCAGCAGCTAACTACGCTATAATACACTGGGTACATCGAGCCGCTAACTACGCTATAATACACTGGGTACATCGAGCCGCTAACAACGCTATAATACACTGGGTACATCGAGCCGCTAACAACGCTATAATACACTGGGTACATCGCCGCTAACAACGCTATAATACACTGGGTATATCGAGCCGGTAATAACGCTATAATACACTGGGTATATCGAGCCGGTAATAATGCTATAATACACTGGGTATATCGAGCCGGTAATAATGCTATAATACACTGGGTATATCGAGCCGGTAATAATGCTATAATACACTGGGTATATCGAGCCGGTAATAACGCTATAATACACTGGGTATATAGAGCCGGTAATAACGCTATAATACACTGGGTATATCGAGCCGGTAATAACGCTATAATACACTGGGTATATAGAGCCGGTAATAACGCTATAATACACTGGGTATATCGAGCCGGTAATAACGCTATAATACACTGGGTATATCGAGCCGGTAATAACGCTATAATACACTGGGTATATCGAGCCGGTAATAACGCTATAATACACTGGGTATATCGAGCCGGTAATAACGCTATAATACACTGGGTATATCGAGCCGGTAATAACGCTATAATACACTGGGTATATCGAGCCGGTAATAACGCTATAATACACTGGGTATATCGAGCCGGTAATAACGCTATAATACACTGGGTATATCGAGCCGGTAATAACGCTATAATACACTGGGTATAATAAACTCACCCCTCGGGCTCCCACAGACCGGCGGCTGCGGGGTGTCAGTCCGCTCCGGGGGCTGCCGAAGCTGGCCACCGGTAGTGCTGCCGGTGAGTGTGCTGGGGGGCTGCAGGGGGCCATGGAGGAGATGGAGAGGTGCTCCAGTAGCCGGTGGTGCAGCTGGCTCTTGTTACAGACCGGAGCCGCCCCATAGTCCTCGCAGTTATTATCGCTCAGCACCGGTAGCTTCTCGCCGCTCTTTATCCGCCGCAGACAGTCCTTCAGCAGGAGCTGTGTGGGCGTCTCGCCCAGCCAGTGCAGGAACAGCTCGTCCACCTTCATTTTGAGGACGGGTTGGAGGGCGCTGCTCATGCTCGCGGTCTGTCAGTCGCCTTATTCCGGTATATCCCCCTCCGTGCAAGGTGTTTTAATTCCACGCGCATGCGCAATCCCGCGAAGACGCCGAAGAGCGCGAGCGTTTAATTTGTATTCGCGCATGCGCGCGCCCCTTACGCACGATGCTGCGAGCCACGGCGGCTGGGTTACCTTGGCAACTGCTGTGCTGAGGGTGACAGGGAGAGATGGCTGGCGGGCAACGAGTAGCTAGATGAACGTTCTGTAGCTGAGTGACGCAGCGCTCTGCCGCCTGGGCTGTCATTGGGTTGATTGTTATTTTGATTCTCAACGGTTTTTGATAATTGTTACTAAAATGTGAATACTCTGAAACTGCTGGTCTAAACGTGCTGAAACGCTCTGTGTATAATGAGGGTGTCCTGCTTTTTTCATTTTATGTAAAATGCAGATTTCATTAGAGATTGACAAGTTTATAAATGAATCACACCCGGAGACAGGTCCGGTTACTTCCTGGTTAGGTTATTTGCACAGAACTCAAGCTGCCCAGAGCACCTGCCATGCAAAGACTTCTCATTGAGCTGCATTGGGCAGTCTGTGATTGGATAGCCACAGAAAGTCTGGGTGGGGATATAAGGGGAGGGCTTGCAGAGGCTGCAGACAAGAGAACTGCAGGTTTTGCAAGCTGCTTTTAGATATCTCCATAATGATAAAATGTATAATTAAATACATGCATGTTTTCATTGGGACATCGTCTACTAAATAATGATTTTTAATTTATTTTTTCCTCCTGTCAATAAGTGTCAGTACAGTATGGTTGAAGCCTACAGGTAATCGGATAGAGTTAGAGAAATTAAGCAAGTAGTCCCCTCCCACAATTTCGTTATGAATCTTAAGACATCTGTCAATAGCTTCAGTTTATTCCTAACTCGTGTGGGATGTATAGGTGCCTTGATTGCTCTGGATTTTCAGAGGTGGCAACAGACACAGGATGCTGTTAGGAGTGCCTCAAGCGTCCAGGTGGCATTCTGAAACCATGGAGGTGGCTGCTGTTCAATTTTCTGTGACTCTGACAAGTATTGCAAAATTGGATGATAACCATTATATGTGTTACCCACATACTTCAAGATGGAGATATATATAGCTATATTAGATCTCAAAGAAGTTTATCTCCATGTTCCAATCGCTGTGACATTGAAACAATTCTTAAAGGAACACTATAGGGTCAGAAACACAAACATGTATTCTTCACCCTATAGTGTTTAACACACTATTAAAGTAGCTTGCCCCCCCTTTAGCCCCCTTAAAAGGTAATAAAACTCACCTTATTTCCAGCACCGCACAAGTCCGCCGGCGCTGGCCCCTGCCCTCTTGGTGACATCATCAGAATTGCTGATTTTTAGCCAATCCAATACTTTCCCATGGCTAAAATTCAGCATCCCCATGAAATGCGTGGAGACGCTGGACGGCACTGCTGCCTACTGTACAGCACTGAGCCAGGAAGCACCTCCAGTTGCCATCTAAGGAGTGGCCACTTGGAGGTGTTCCTAGGCAGTGTTTACATAAAAATGCTTGCATATAATGATTATACTCACCAGAACAACTACATTAAGCTGTAGTTGTTCTGGTGACTATAGTGTCCCTTTCAGGTTGCAATCAGAGTAAGTGAAGGCATATTACGTTTCCAGTTAAAACCTTGCCTTTTGGCTATCATCTGCATAAACAATTTTTACAAACATCATGGCCACCTTGACAACATCATTGGCTTTAATTTCTTATTTAGACAATTGGCTTTTTAAATATTTCTCCACAGAAGTGCTTTAACTAAGCATCTACCATCAGTTCCCTCCAAAGCTATAACTGGCTTCTAAACTGGGAAAGGTCAATACTTAAACCAGTCACCAGAATTTCATTCCTGGGCTTAGAAGTGAATGCACTAAAAATGAGAATAGTCTTATCAAATGATAAAAGGAGAAAAATCGTCAGATCAGTAAAAGATCTTCAGAGCAATCCATTTTATTTATTAGGACAGGCTATGAGCATTCTAGGCCTCTTCACCTTCTAGAATTATGCAGTACAATAAGCCAAGGCACACATGAGAGGTTAACAATAAACAAAAGTAAAGAAAGGATCAAGACAGAATCAGATCTGGTGTCATGGGGTAACACTCCTGGGTTCGGCACTCCGCTGGGCGGAGCTGGATCCCGCCCCCCTCTGACACAGCTCTGACGGTATTTAGGGAGACTGGGCCAGAGAGAGGGTGCTTGGTGATTGTGTGTGAGCTGCCTCCGCGAGACCGCAGGCTCTGCTACTGGGAGCTACTTCCACCAGACTTACCACTCCACAAGCTCAGACAAGCCGTTCCTGCCTTTGAGCCAATGCAAGGATTGCTGCATGCCATAAAGGATTACTGGAGAACGGATACTTTGCTACTTTACAAGTGGACCATATCTCTGAACTATTGGAGGACTACACATATTAACCTTAAGTATATCTATCAGCTATTTGTCTACAATATCATGTAATAATGAACTAATGCTTGCTTACTCAAATCTTCATTGCTACAAGCTATTAATTATATGGAGGACAACTCCCATCATGTTTATTCACTATGAACTGTTTCTTGCTTTGCAAATAGACTCACTGCTTCAAGCTACTAATTATATAGAGGACAACTCCCATCATCCGTATTCACTATGAACTGTTCTTGCTCTGCAAAAATTCTTAGCTACTTGCCTATTGTTTCTATTGAAGATTATTCTCATGAACATAAAGAATGTTACTTAATCTTCTTTTCTTTCTTTCCTTTCTTTCTTTCTTTCTTTCCTTTCCTTTCTTTTCCTTTCTTTTCCTTTCTTTTCCTTTCTTTTCTTTTCTTTTCTTTCTTTCCCAAATCACCCCAAGTATCGTAACATCTGGACAGATACATTTGTATTGCGCACAAGATAATAAACTGGTGAAAAATGTAGAAACCTGGGATATTCACGGATGCTTCAACTGGGGAGCGCACTGGGAAGGTTTATCAGCACAAGGTATTTGGAGTACATATGAAAGCAATGAACCGTCCAACTGCAAATAACTATTGGGAGTCTCCAAAGTCCTTCTACTTTTTTGTTCATATCAGAAAAATTAACTTACAAGTTCATTCAGACAACTACACATTGATCATGTAACAAGATCCCATTCTTTATCAGTCCTCTGCAAAAAGATCATAGACTGAAACGAGCAAACTGTAGCAGCCATATCAGCAGTTCATAATAAAGGAATTTACAACAGTCTAGCAGACAACCTGAGCAGAGGAAAATTGAGTCAGGCAAATTCGGAATTGGTCAATTATGTTTTTTAGAAATCCAATCATAGACCTTATGTCAATCATACACAACGGGAAGATAGACAGATTGGCCTCCCTGTGTAGGCAAGATCACCCAGATGTCGTGGACAGTCTATCAATCTTCCGCAACTTTTCTATGTTACATATTTCTACCTATAGCAGTTATTCCCAGAGAGCTGACAAATCAAGAAGAAAAAGGTGAGAGTCATAGTGATAATTTCATTTTAGCCAAAAAGGAGAGTTGGTTTACAGATCTTCCGAGGAAGTCAAAGAACAGCTATTGGAGGATTACAACTATAGGGAAAATTCTGACAAAAAAAGTATCTCCGAAAGTGCTGGAAATGTTCAATATCACAATATGTAATCTGAAGTGGCAGGCAATAGCTCAGAGCACCTGCCTTGCAAAGACCTCTCATTCAACTGCATTGGAAAATCTGTGATTGGACAGCTACAGAAAGTCTGGGTGGAGTTTGAAGGGGAGGGATTGCAAAGTCATCAGACTTGCAGTGCAATAATGCATAAATAAATGCATGCATGTTTTCACTGGGGTATATCTACTAAACAGTGATTTTAAGATTTTTTAAAAAAATATTTGGGCAGTGGATTATCCCTTTAGTGATTTGTATGGTCCACCTTTCGAAGATTGTTCTCTGGCAATGCTTTCTATGAAGATGATCTTTTTAGTGGCAGTGAAATGCAAGCTGTGACGGAGTATCTCCGCCAAGTATCCCTTCTCTCCTGGGACAGAATAGCCAAAGTGATTATAGTTTGTCTCTTTCCCTTGGGATAGAGCTGCTAGAGTGATTAAAGTTATTTCCAAACACCAGCCCAGGCTTGATCAAGGGTAAAACAAGTTTGAGTTAATTAGTCATTATAAAAAACAATGCATTGCAAAATCTGGGCGACTTGTTGTCTGGGACATAGCTAACTTAGCAGACGACCTCCATCTTACCTTCAGGAGTTAAATTGTTTTAGGTTTAAACCTGAAGTTGGTACCCTGGCAGCTAACAGGGGTAGGCCTTGGCAGAATTTTTATGCACTAACTAGGAACAGTACATTTCTTTAACCCCTTAAGGACCAAACTTCTGGAAAAAAAGGGAGTCCTTAAGGGGTTAAAAATTAGTAAATGTTCCTATGTATATTCATTGTTTGAAAAAACCCAGAAAGGAATTCAGCACTTATGAAATACTAATACAGTTCAAAAGGCAGCTTAATCAGCAAATCCACGTCTCTCTTGTACAGTAGAAAATGAAAAAAGCAGGAAAGGAGGTGTAGCGCCTAGGATGTCCTTGAGGGTATATGTAAAAATAAAATAAAAAATAGTGTATTGCATAAAATATAATGGAAAAACATTTAATTAGTTCACTCACACTTTTCAGGGGCTTAGGTTCAGCTCCAACTTGAAGGCTTTGGCAAAACGATCCCCGCCTAGGGATATAATGTGGTGCAGAATCTAAATAATATAGTGTAGAATGTACAGCCAAACAGCAGCAATACAGTAATATAAAAATGTGTACTCACATATTCTGGAGACTGAAAAGTGGTCTCCACAGATATAGCGTGAAGTGGTATGATCCCCAATCTAGGATATAGTTGTCACTCTGTATATAAAAGAGAAATAAACCCACACCGTATACTGTAAAAATGGAGTGAGAAGATAAAATAAAAACTTACATTTAATAGAGAAAAATATGGTATGCTCAATCCAATAGGCGTAGGTGGTTTCCTATCCTCACCAAAGATATAAATGATCAGGAATGCAGC